ATAAAATAAACTATATATCTAGTTTTAGTTAACACAAACAGACCAGAAAGAGCACAAATAGCAGCTCAAACAAATTACAAAAAAAAAAAACGAAACAAATCAATGTGTAAATATTGCTGTTTGACAAAACAAACAAACAAACAAACCTAACAAAAAAATCACTAAATTAACATTACTAAATAAAAAAACAAAAATGCATATATTTAGCTGTTTGTAAAATCAAACAAAACAAAACAAAACACAAAACAAAACAAAACAAAACAAAACAAAACAAAACAAAACAAAACAAAACAAAACAAAACAAAACAAAACAAAACAAAACAAAACAAAACAAAACAAAACAAAACAAAACAAAAATAATACAGAAATAAAACAGTTTGATCTAGGTTTGGTTAAACAAAAACAACGATAACATAATATGTCCAAACATTAAACAAATTACAAACCCAAACAAACACAAACTAATCAAACATTTTGCTGTTTGACAAAATAAATTGAATAAAACAAGCACAAAGAAAACAGAAATAGTACAAAGTTAAAGAAATTACACAAACAAAATCAAATAAATCAAAACATTAACATAAATAAATCTAGACTATGTAAAACAAACATAAAGAGAACAAAAATAGCACAAACAAAACAAAAACTGTTTCTATTTGGCAAAACAACAAACAAACAATAAAACAAAATGTCCAAAATCAATAGACATAATACTGATTGAACTAGACTTGAATCATGAAGAAAACAGAAATAACACAAAATAAAAAATGCATAAATGTTGCTTTTTTGACAAAAAAAAAAAATAAATAAAACACAAAAATACACAAAACAGCAAAAAAACTATCAAACAACAAACATTTCCATGTAATAAGTACAAAAAGCACGGCCGAATAACTAACATCTGTTTCTCCAACCGCACAGTTGTTTTCATATACATCACACATTATATTATGACACATATATAAGATGTATATCAGCTACAGCTTCTCTCCAGCCAATCATAATTTCTCTCCTGTGTGAATTCGGCTCAGCTGTTTGGCTGAAATGAGAGTTGTGTCGGTGTGTGTGTGTTTTAGGCTCGTGGGTTTGCCTTTAGTGAGTGGGACGGTAATATTTCTAGGTTTTGAACTGGTGTTCAGACACTTTCATATTCCTCTGAATACACCTCTGGGTCAAAAAATTGAGCTTCAAAGAGAACTGCACTTGTTCTGGGGCGGTAAAGAGGGAGGCAGCTTATCTAACGCTTTTATTTCACACAGAACAAACCGCTCCGCTTGAAATACAACATGTGTCCCCCTGCACATTGATTTATTGTTTTCTTTTTAATTGATTGATTTTCCTGTTTTTTTAGCAGGTTTGTACACCGCTGAAGGCTCCTGCTGAGAAACCGTTGCATTGGAAAAATTCATACAAATATATATATATATATATATATATATATATATATATATATATATATATATATATATATATATATATATATATATATATATATATATATATATATATATATATATATATATATATATATATATATATAT